TTTTTTTCTATTAAATGGTGTATCATATTGATTTTCAAATGTAGAACCAACCTTGCATTCCTAGAATAAATCGCACTTTGTCATGGTGTATGATCCTTTCTGTTTGTTCCTAGGTCCTATTTGCTAGTGTTTTGTTGAAGATTTTTGCATCTACATTCATAAGGAATGTTGATCTGTAGTTTTCTTGTGATCTGTTTGTCTGGTTTTTGTATCAAAGTAAAACTGGCCTCATAGAATGAGTTGGGAAGTATTCCTTCCTCTTCTGTTTTTTGGAAGAGTTTGTGAAGGATTGGTTTTAAAATTCTTTCAGCGTTTGGTAGAACTCACCAATGAAGCCATCTGGGCATGGGCTTCTCTTTTGGGAAGTTTTTTGATTACTGATTAAACCTCTTTACTTGGTATACGTCTATTCAGATTTTCTGTTTCTTCCTAAGTCAGTGTCAGTAGTTTGTGTCTTTCTAGGAATTTGTCCATTTCATCTGAGTTATCTAATTTGTTGGTATACAGTTGTTCATAATTCTTCTTATAATCCTTTTTATTTCATAAGGTCAGTAGTTCTCCTTCCACTTTCATTATTCCTGATTTAGTAATTTGAGTCGTCTTCTCTTTGTTTCTTGTCCAGTCTAGCTAAGGTTTGTAAATTTCGTTGATCTGGTCAAAGAACAACTCTTGGTTTTGCTGATTTTTTTCTATTGTTTTTCTTTTCTCTATTTCATTTATTTCTGCTCTAATTTTTATTATTTCCTTCCTTCTGCTTGCTTTGAGTTTAGTTTGCTCTTCTGTTTCTAGTTTCTTCAGGTGGAAAGTTAGGTTGTTAATTTGAGATCTTTCTTCTTCTTTTTTTTTTTTAATATAGGTATTTACTGCTATAAATTTCCCTCTAAGCACTGACTTTGCTGAATCACCTAAGTTTTGGTATATTGTGTAATTATATTCATTCATTTCAAAGTATTTTTAATTTCTCTTGAGATTTCTTTTTCCTGTTTGTTATTTAGGAGTGAGTTGTTTAATTTCCACATATTAGTGAGTTTCCAAAATTTACTTCTGTTATTGACTTCTAATTTCATACTATTATGGTCAGAAAATATACTTTGTATGATTTCAGTCCTGTTAAATTTATGTAGACTTGATTATGGTCAAATATATGGTCTGTCCTGGAGACTGTTACATGTATACTTGAGAAGAATGTGTATTCTGCTGTTGTTGGGTGGAGTGTTCTGTAGGTATCTGTGAGGTCTAGTTGGTTTATAGTGTTGTTCATGTCTACTCTTTCCTTGCTAATCTTCCACCTACTTGTCCTATCATTTTTGAAAGTGGAATATTGAAGTCTACAATCATTACTCTTTGTTTATTTCTCCCTTCAGTTCTATCAGTTTTTGCTGTATTTTGAAACTCCGTTGTTAGGTACCCATATGTTTATCATCGTTATATCTTCTTAATGGGTTGAGTCTTTTATCATTATAGAATGTCCTTTCTTTATCACTAGTGACAATTTTTGGCCTAAAGTCTATTTTGTCTGATATTAGTATAGCTACTCCAGTGCTTTATAGCTAGTTTGCATGATTTATGTTTTTCCATTCTTTTACTTTCAGCCAATTTGTGTTTTTCAATCCAAAGTTTGTCTCCTAGAGACAGCATATAGTTGGATCATGCGTTTTTTAATCATTCTGCCAATCTCTGCCTTTTAATTGGAATGTTTAATCTATTTACATTCAGTATAATTACTGGTAAGGTAAGATTTATGTCTTCCATCTTGTTATTTGTCCTCTACTTGTCTTATGTCTTTTTTTCTCCTCTGTCCCTTCACTGTCTTTTGTTATATTAAATGAGTTAAGTTTAATTCCCTTGTCATCTCTTTTACTATATAATTTGTGTTATTTTCTTGCTATAGGGATTACAGTTAGCATTTTAATTTAAAACAATATAGTTCAGATTAATACCAACTTAATTTCAATAATATGCCAGAACTGATTCTGTGTAGTAGCCCTGTTCCCTCCTGCCTTCTTCATGTTGTCATTGTCATAAAAGTTACATCCTAATAAGTGGTGTACCCATCAACACAGGCATATAATTATTGCTTAATGAAGTTGTCTTCTAAATCAAATAGGGGCAGGGGAAAGCCATTTTTCTTGAGTAAATACTCCTTGGATTGATGCAAGCCATTGGTTCATTTCCGGAGTTCTGAAAAAGTTGATTCTATTTTTGCCAGTTTTCTTGTTTCTTTTATGGAGGAGAGAATTTTCAGAGTTCTCTAACCACTTTCTTTTAAAATCACTCTCAGTGTACTTTTAACTTGTATTTCCCTTAGATGAAGTTAAACATCTTTATTATGTTTATATTTCTTTTTGTGTGGGCTATAGGTATGTATCCTGTGACTGTATTCTATTAAGTATTTGTTTTCTAGTTGATTTGTAGGGGTTATTAGGGAAATGAGCCATCTGCCTTTGTATGAGCTGCAAAATTTTTCTTCATTTTGTGTTTTGACTTTTGTTTATGGTGTTTTTGTCATAAAGGGAAAAGTATCAGTCTTTTCTTAATTTATCCTGATGTGTCAGTTTTAATGAATCTATGAATTCTTTTATGGCTGCTGAGTTTTGTGTAATACTTTAAAGATTTTTTTCCTCTAAGATTATTTTAACTATTCCCCAATGGCCTTTCAAGTATTTTTTAAAATAAATTTTATCAAAATATAATTTACATGCAGTAAAGTACACCTATTTAAATGATGAGTTTTGACAAATGTATACGCCCATGTAACCACTACCACAAACATGACAGAGAACATTTAATCACCCCCAAAAGTTCTTTCAGGCCCCTTTAGAGTCATTCCCACTCTACCATCACCACCAGTGCAAAATAATCTTGTTATTTTTTTTCCTTGTGTTTCTATCTGTGATGATTTCCCCCTTGTCATTTATTTCATCCATCTTCTTGAGTAAAGTTAGCTAACACTTTGTTATTTCATTTTACTTCAGAGAATAAGCTCTTTTATTTATGTATTAGTTGTGTCATTTTTCTCCTTTAAAATTAACTAGCTATTTGAGTTAGATGCTTAATTCTTGTTAAGGGTGTGAATTTTCCTCTGAGAACTTCTTTAACTGAATTCCAAAGGTTCTGATATGAAGCAGTCACCTCACCATGTCACCTGCATTTTCTTTGCTTTGTTTTTGTGTTTCTTATAATGAAATTTAGTTTAGTATTTTCATCTTAGCAGTTACTTTGATACCTATGACTGGTTGGAAGTCTATGAATACTAACCAAAGCAATGATGGAATTAATATATTTCTCCTTCCCTCTTCTCTTCCAGCCAATTGATTATCTTAGTATTTTCTTTTGTATTGTTAAATATACCTTTACTTCTGTCAACGTTCTAAAAAGTTCAAACTACATTCAGGCCAGGGTAAGTTTCTCCCAGAGGGGTGCTTTTTAGACCTAGCCTGCCCTTCCCCCACATTCTCCTGCCCTCCCCCGCCAACCTTGCCTTCCCACCCGGCAAGTCCCCAGTCATCTTAGCCAGGGGAAATGAGGGCTTAGTTGATTGGTGGGCAGCTCCTGCCTCCCTAAGGGACAGAGTAAATTTAGGTTCTGTCACCGGCTGAGACTCTATCAGAGGAAGCTCAAAACATCCTGCCAGAGCTTCCTGAAAACAGCATCACTGGATTTACACAGTCCCTGCCTGTTCCTTCTCCTCAGATATCTAGACCAAGCTTAGGGCCCTTCCAGATGGTCCAGATGGCCAAAATCTCTTTTTGCTTAGTTCTCCATGATTATAAAAGACTCGGTTCCTGAGCACCTCATCTTCTCCATTTAAGTCTCTCATCTCAGTATGGGCAAATATTTTCAGACTGAACAGTTGAGAAGAAATCATGGCAGAAACCTTAAAGGGCCTCCTATCCCCAGCCTGGACTAGCTTTCATTTACACTTAACCATGGCCATACCCTTACCATTTATTCCTCCTCCCCTCACCCCCATGCCCTTTTTCCACTGGACTCGTCCCAGGCTCAGAGTTCAGGCCAAAGGGAACAGAACTACCAGATGATCACCCAGTTGAGAAAGAGCCAGCTCTGGTAAAACTGATGTCTGCAAAGTTCTTTCATTTCCTGGTGCTTGAAAATCCTTGTCCTGCCAAGGATTAAGCTTGGTATCTATTTCAGTTTCTGATCTTACTCCTGTTTCTTTTCAACTCCATCTCTCCTACCCCATCTGTCCTGAATCTCCTTTAACTAATTATTATCCCCCTTCTCCCACCATATGTTTTTACATCATAAGATGTCACTTGTTTACAAGGTATAGAGCAGAAAGCAGAAGAGATTTCTAGACTCAAGCAAATGACTCTATACTTTCAGGTATCCTGATAAAGGCAGGAAATACTTTTTTTTTTTTTTTTTTTTTCGGTACGCAGGCCTCTCAATGCTGTGGCCTCTCCCATTGCGGAGCACAGGCTCCAGACACGCAGGCTCAGAGGCCGTGGCTCACGGGCCCAGCCGCTCCGTGGCATGTGGGATCTTCCCGGACCGGGGCACGAACCCGTGTCCCCCACATCGGCGGGCGGACTCCCATCCACTGCGTCACCAGGGAAGCCCAGGAAATACTTTTGAAGAAGTCTTCTTGATGCCTCTTAATTCAAACTGTGTGCAGTATTCTGACCAGGGAGGGAAACCACCTCCCCACTAGCAGAACAGACTGGAGATCATACAACACAAACTCTGGACCAGTCTTTTCAGTTCTTGGGCCATGTGAAGTCAAACTTGGGCCCTTTCCTTCCCCCTCAAGCATCAAGAGCTCATATATTATCATTTAGAGTTGGGGGGGGGGGGGCTTCCCCAGACACCTCAATCGTTCCAAGTATCACTTACCAGGTGAGAAAAGTCAAGATATTAGATCAGATCCTAAAGACCCTAGTTGCTCTGATATCCTAAGGATCTAGGGCACAGGCTGCGTGGATGGCTACACAGAACCCTGGGGATGATCTCTGTGAGTGTACAGGATGGTGAACAGCTTAGCTGGGTGGAATCTCGCTATTAGGTGGATCCTGGGCTGGCTCGAAGGAGGCTCCTCCACTCTTGTCCCCTCCAGGGAAGATGACTGTGGCGTATGTCACAGGCTTGGAGCAGATCTCAGCCTTAGGAGGCAGAGGGGGCAAACAGGATGGGGCTGGGGGTGGGTGTTTCCCTGACAGGGAATCAAGAGGAAGGTTGCTGTAGGTGTTATTGTCAAAGGAAGGTGGCGAGTCGAGCCTAACATATGGTACATCCGATGGCAAGTCAACAGCCAGTCCAGAGTCACTGATGTGGTGGACCACTGAGGAGGGGACCTGTAACAAAAGCAGGCAAATCAGGCAAAGAGAAAATGCCTCCCTCTGCCCCAGTTCCCTTAGATGGGAAGCCTAGGACCAGACTGGATCTGTCTCATCAATCCTGAGTATGTCAGTGGGCAAGAAGGCTTCACTTTGAGGATTTTCAAGCCCCAAGTTTCTCTACAAATCTGAGAAGGTGGATAGCAAGGTGGGAAGGTGGGAGACCATTGTTGCCAAGTTTACAGCGTTTAGGAAGAGGGTTTGGACCCAGTCTTCTCTCCACTCCATCATCCTGGGACTTCTCAGTGATTGTGGCAGAGGGAGGGTCTGGGGAATTTGGCTGGGGACCTGTGGAGATCTCTTACCGAGCCTGAGACTCCACTGCTCTGATATCGTCCACAGGCAGCAAGCCTGTTCCCTGGCAGGACAGAGGACAGAAGCACAGTCTGCTTCTTGTGCTGACTCAGTGCCCGCCTCACGCCCTTCAGAAACTTTGGAAACCTCTGTCCTAGGCTCCACCTTCCCCACTCCCACCAGCAAAGTTTTCCCCTTCCATCTCCCCAGCCCCCACCCCCAGCCAGCCCTAACTCTCCCCCGACCCACTTACTGCTTCCACAGCTCCCCTCAACCTGCCTCAACACTCAGTCCATCTCCTGAAATCCCCCACCTCCTCCAGTCACCTGTCCCCAATCGCACTGTCTCACCCTCTCCTATTCCTGTTTCTCCCCAGGCCTCCTCCCACTGAATCTCTTTGCTCTCCTCTACCGCTCAGCCATGGGGATTCTAGGGTCTGGGGACGCTTACTGCAGCCCATCTGTAGGAGGAGCAGACCTAGATTCTCAGCCTTGAATGCAAGACTGCCTGATACAGGACCAGGGAGCCATTCTGAGATAGGCAGGTGGACAGCTACCTACCTTTCCTTTTGGCCATCACAGCAAACAGCACCACCGCCAGCACCAGCAGGCCCAGCAGGAGCACAGCACCCCAAATCAAGGGTCTGCTGAGAGACACAAAGGAGTAGGTGAGCTTAGCCCTGAACCTGGCAGGGAGCTGCTTGCCAGGAATCCTAGGGAAGTGGCACAGAGGTGCAGTTCTTGGTGAGCCATGGTTGGAGAAAGATTTTCGGAATGGAATGAGGAGGACAGACTCAGGCAGGGCAGAGAGAGACACTATCAGGGTATCCTGGCTGGAGATCTGGGATGAAGGGGTCAGTGCTGAACTGGGATAGGGAGGTATGTCTGTCTGTCTGCCTACCTGCCTGGTCAGAAGTTCCCCAGGAGTGGGAAGAATCATAAAGTTTCTTTTCAGTTTAGTCTGGGGCTCTAAACAAGCCATATCTTCACCACCACCCCTTCCCAGCTGCCCAAATACAGTTCTTGTCAGTACCTCTTCTTATCTCGGCTGGGGTCCAAAGGGCTGGCACTGCCTACAGGATCTGAAGAGGAGATGTCAGCCAGACTCCTGACCTGATGGGTCTCCTCGTCCTCCTCTTTCAGGCCAGGAGCTGAGTCAGAAGGAAATACTTAACGAGAACATACCCATTGTGGGCAGGGTTCAAGGGCCTATTGAGAGCTGAGGGACGGGGGGAGAAGAGCTGAGGCAGGAGAAGTCCCAAGCAAGGAGCACAAAGAAGGGGTGCTTGGGATATTCCTTAGGGGCCTCTCATTCTGGAGGTCAGGGAATGGCCTCTTTATGTCTTTATCTGGTTGTGAGTACGCTCACTTTCCCCTTTACCACCAGCTCCCAACCCTCCCCCCCGC